CCCTTGTTCACGAGACCATACCCATAGTCCACAGCGTCACCAGCATGTTCAACTTCTTGATGATCGTCCCAACGGTGAGGGTTCCAGCTCTTGGCATCAGTGAAGAACTCGTTGCTCGTTGCCGTTACCATTGGTGAAGCCAGGAGCACTTGGTCAGTGCCGACGACGTACGGGGTGCCGGGAATGGTGAGAGGGTTCTTGACTTTGCGGAGGATAGAGTGGATGGAGCCATGAAGGCGGAGGGTTTCCTTGACGACATTGTGCAGAAGCGTGAGCTTGTCCAGGTCCGAATACTGAAGGGGGGCCAAGTTCTCTTTCTTGCCTTGAGCAAGGTTCTGGACTTGCTCCTCGTAGAGTTCCTCGGCGATCTTAGGGTGTGCCGCGAGACGAAGCATGATCCAACCGGCTGCTGAGGACGAAGAATGCTGACCTCCCATGAGAAGCGTGATCATCATGTGCGCGATCTCTTTGTCGGGGACCGGGGTGCCGTTCTTGTAGCTCGAGTTCATGAAGTTCGTAATCATATCGTCTTCAGTATCACCGTTCTTGCGACGTCTCTGAATGATGTCCTCGTATATCGCTCGCATCTTCTCGTGGGCAGCGTCTCGGCGACGGTTTCGGGGCAGAGGCAACCAAGGAAAGAGGAAGTTGACCGGAGTGAAGCCCTAGAAGAAAACTGCTGTTAGAAAGAGACGGTCTTCTGAGAATGTGTGATTCTTACCATATCAAGGTCGTGGTACAACTTGGCAAATTCGGCAGAAAGCTTCTGTCGTACCTCTTTACCCTGGAGGGAGCGCGCCGCCGTGAGAAGGGTAATCTCAGAAATGGCACCAGAAATGTCGACAACCCCAGATGGACCCTTGAATGCGGGGGCAGTCTTGATGTAGTCCAGAACCTCCTTCTCAATCAAGGGCACGTGCGACTCGAGTGCCTTCTGTGTCAGACCGAATTTGACAAACTTCTTCTGTTCCATGAGCTTCGAGTTCGGACAATCGTAGACGACGTCGCTACCGAATACTGGGGTCGTGAGTGGGCCATAGATCTCCTCGGCGCTGATGTCTTGGAGCTTGCCGTTGAGGATGAAGTCGTTGCCCTCGATCCCAAGGAAGCATGTGATTTTCCTGCCGAAGAGGGTGAATGTGAAGACATCACCATACTTCATTATGGTTAGCTAACGGAAACTAACGCTACCCGTGTCCTCTATCGAGAAACGTACCTTGGCGCGGTATTTCTCGAAGAAAGCCACAGGGTCCATGCCGTATGACACTGCATTTCCAACGTAGGGTATCCAATGGAAGACGGTCGGTGGTAATGATTTGTTCTGGAAGAAGAGCTGACGGCAGATACTGATGATTATGGAGACTGCTAGTCCAGCAAGGCCATAGACAACGAGAGGGCTCATGGTCGACGGCCTCGGAAGTTCTATGCCTTCCATCATTTTGGCGTGGGCTCGGGTGTGGCGGCGGTGGCTAGGGAGGGATTTGCAGGGGGAGCAAGGGCTGGAAGGCAAGAGAGCCAATGCAAAAATGGTCGGGAGACAGAGCACCTTTAAATCTTCTTCTCATATAATGGCTTCCAAAAGCGAGATCTCTATCGTACTACTTTCACTTATTGTTTGATTGCTTCTGGTCTGCTACGGTGTTGGTGAACCCATTGTGGTCTTCGTCTCGTATTCGTGTTAGGTACGTACCACTTTGACCCCTGTTGGGCTGGACCAACACCGATGACGCCTCCAGACCGTGGAACGATTCTGGAATTGGACTTCGCAGTCCAAGACTCTTCTGGGAAGCTTCCCCATTCTAACGGGAAGCTGCGGTGTGCTTAAGCGACATTTGGATTGGGCCATCGGCGCCGTGATTCTCTGTAACTGTCAAAACTTCACCCCTGGCAAGTTGCAGCCTTGACTGAAAGTGACGCCACTTGCCTCGAAACCCCTGGCGGGCGGGCCTGTAAGATCAAGGGAATGGTCAGCATGTCACTTTCACGTGACTCGAATCTTGGATCAATCGTTAAGGTACTGATTACTCCCCAAGTTGGCTAGGCTCAGGAGGGCGGGCTGGTATTGAAATTTGGGTCTTGACACCCTTCGTGATATCACTAAGCTCTCATCGTTGGGTTCTCGTCACTACTAACATGTAGTTATATTGAAGTTGCTGGGCCGGGACAAACTGTTGCTGATTTTGGCATTATCATTACTCTGTTCGACCGACGTATTAGTTCTCTTACGACATGAGCGCAACGTTGTCCGAATAATTGACAACCCATGTAATTCAAAAAGCGATGAAGTCTTCCCAATTCCTTAGATGGACACCTTTAACAACTAGAAGCCTTCAAATATTGTTCAAAGTGCGGGGTAGAGTACGATGCAGTAAATGGCTGGCTTGGCGGGGATCTTTTCGTGGGGTCGCGCGGAGTAAGTGAACTCAGATTCGAGGACTCCAATTCCTCCGCTGGAGATCATCTCGAAGGCGGCGAATTTCGGGAAATCTCATGGCGAGATGAGATTTAAACAGCTTTTCTCACCCTCGCTTTGCACCAGATCAAACCCCGTACAACTGCATCGATAGATTAGACGCCGATATCTACTGCACGCTATGCGCTATGAGGTTTTCTCAGCTTCATGTCTTTGCTTTGCCCCTCCTCATTCTGCTCTCCCATGCAACGGGTTGCAAAACTGATGAAGACTGCAGTTTGAATGGGATTTGTTCCTGGGGAGGATCATGCGCCTGCGACCCAGGATGGCGGTCAGCAGATTGCAGCGAATTGGACCTCCAACCTGTAGAGCGATGGACGGGTTACAACCACACGAATGCGACTGGCACAGACTTCTACAAGGAAGGCGCAGGCAACTCTTCATGGGGTGGACACATCATTCATGACCGCTCCGACAAGAGTCTGTTCCATCTAGTCACGTCCCAGATGTCTCACGGCTGTGGACTCGCGGGTTGGAGACCTTTCAGTACAGTCATCAGAGCCGAATCGCGCACCGGCCCTAGAGGTCCATACAACTACGCGCAAACACTATTTGGGACTTTCCATCATAACCCAACGACGATTTGGAGTCCAGCAGATGAGAAGTACTTGATCTACTTCATTGGAAGGGATTATGAAGTTGGTGACGTCTGTCGGTCACAAAAGTGGAACAATACTATTTCGGTCTCGAGTTCACCAGACTTGAAGGAGTGGACAGAGCCGATACCGCAAGTTATTAATGTCACAAATCCGGCTCCTTGGCCCCTGTGGTCGCCCAAAAACCCCACCAAAGAAATCTTGCTGGCAGTCGAAAAGAATAACATCTATCATGCCGATAACTTTTCTGCTCCGCATGAATTGGTAGTGGAGCCCCGCAACACGGAACGAAGCGAGGATCCGTTCCTCTGGAGAGACAAGCGCGGGCATTGGCACATCCTCGTGCATCATATGATCGACATCGCTGAGGGAAGAAAGGGACCGCGTGTTGGCGCGCATGCCTTTGCACGGAAATGGGAAGGCCCATGGACCTACAACAACAACACTCTGGCATACAACACCACTGTTGAGTTTACTGACGGAGAGAAGCTCGATTATTACAGGCGAGAGAGACCGAAGCTGTACTTTAGTGAAGACGGGAACATGACCCCACTCTACTTGCTCAACGGAGTTCAAGAGTTTAACAACTCGGGGAGCTATACGTTAATCCAGCCGATTGGGGATGGGGCTGCGGCGTATGAAAAGCAGCTCGGATTCGGAGAGATTGCTTGACTCGGCGGTTAGTGTGGCGGAATAGATCGCTGAGTCGTGCTCAGATTGTCTCGATGCTTGTCAATACGTGATTGTCCTACTCGCGAACTTGCACACGTCTGGTGTTCATGAGGAATCCAGAATTCCTCGCTACTTCATACATATGACCGAAGAAACAAGAGATTCTCGTATTGACCTTGATGTTGCCATATGCAATGCTCTATAAACGGTGCTCGTTAATATGGAGGACTCAGAGCACTTATCTACGAAGCACCTTCTGGGGTCCGACTCCGACTTTTCCGCCCCAGCCCCAGCTTGTCATTATTTATAGCCATGATTTGAAAGCCGATGATTCCCCGGTTGCGCACAGAGGGTGATTTTCCACGTTATCTTGATGAAAGCCACGCGAAAACGACGCTTATTCAGCGGGTTAGGCCCCCCTTGGCGCGGACAACTCGGATCACTTTGTGCTCCCAATTGAGCACTTGCCTATGCACTCGTTATGAATAAATAGCTTGCGGGCCAAAACCCAGCAAGGTAGACCAAAATGGGTGGTAGAATCAGGCTTGTCAGTCTCGGAAAACGTTGGTTGTGACCCTGGACTGACTCAGTCCAGCTCACGGGCCCACCCCTCGCATTTTCGATTAGATGAAATTCCTCGGCTCGGTTCTGCAGCACGCAAACTTTCAGAGGCGAACCGCTCAAGCGAGCGAATAATCAGTGCGGAAACGTGGCTATGAGTGGACCTGGGGGAGATAGCTAAATTCAGCCTCAGGAGGTTTCCAAGTTTAAGCCTGTTATCGACGAGCTGGATGATTATCTGCAGGATCAATCACCAGATTGAGTGCCCCCTCGATGGCACGCTGGCCCCATCTTGACTCTCAAAACCCCTGCTTCCGGACCCGACCAGTTTCCGAAATCCGTAAGGCTTAAGTCGAAGTGTCATCTGATGACATTGACAGGCTTCTATTCTGCAGTGATCCTCGCAAGGATGAACACAGGCTGTGATGTTGCAGACAAGTTTTAAAAGACAGGCCCTTCCCGGCTTCAACCCAACACTCGCAGCCTTATCTTCACTAGCTTTCATTCTCTCTTCAACTTTCACTTTCATTCGCCATCTTTCATCGATTTGAAGGAAGCAGGTCTTCTTAGTGATCGAGACTTTGCTTCTTTTCGTCCACTCATTTTTAGTAAGTACACCTACGATGCTTTGACCTGAGGGTTTGCAGTAGAAGTCTACTAACACAAGATTCAGCGAGTCATTTATCGAACCATCCACGATGCGATCCGACGTTCTCTTCACGATCTTCGCCCTGGCCAGTGGTGCTTTCAGTGCGCCTGCAAGAAGCAATCTGGGCCGTCGCGGGGAAGTCGGTCACGACGAGCTCAGTCCCAGCGCTCAGAAAGTCCAAGACAATCCCGTTGGCAAGGCGATTGAGAGATTCAACCCAACTCTGCACATTGCCCACGGATGCCAGCCCTACACCGCTGTCAATGACGCAGGTGACACGAGGTTGGTTTCAAACCTAGCTTGGCATAGTTAATACACCGGACTAACATCAATGACAGCGGCGGGTTGAAGCCGACGGGCAGCTCCACTGGAGGTTGCAAGGATACTTCGAAGGGACAGACGTACGCCAGAGGAACAACGCTCAATGGCAAGTTCGCCATCATGTACGCTTGGTACTTCCCCAAGGACATGCCCAACGACGGGGTGCCTGTCGGATCCCATAGGCATGACTGGGAGAGCATTGTTGTCTGGCTGAACAACGCAAACCTCACCAGCCCTGCTATCGTCGGCGGTGCGGCTTCTGGCCACGGCGATTTCAAGCTGTCCAACAACCCCCAGAGAGATGGCGACAGCGTCAAGGTGGAATACTTCACTCAGGACTTGATGAACCACGAGCTTCAGTTCACCGACACCACCGGCACCAAGTATCCTGTTCTCGACTGGGATGCCATGCCGGCACCAATGCAAACTGCGCTCAACAATACCAATTTCGGCTCGGCCAATGTGCCATTCAAGGATGAGAACTTTTTGAGGAATCTGTTGGAGGCTTCTATTTGAGAGCCACATGGGCTCAGCTATGAGGGATGATGGACGGCATTTTATTCTCGGTCAATATTTATGGTATTCTTCTCAGGCGAACTTATCCATTAGTTTGGATCACAATGGGGGTTAGAGACTCCAGAATTGACTTCAGTCTGAGACACTAGCGACGTATACAGCGAACCGGTGATGAGAATATCTAATGAATTATGGTATGATAAAATGATAAGAATTTTGTATTTCCTGGGGTTCACAACTAAGTTATAATATGGGGATAGAAAAAGCAAAGCTGACCATACTACAGTACGTCTACACATTGCGAGGTCCATCCGCCGCAGCTGCCGCAGTAGACACGACCACGGGATCGACAGCTGTACCGGGCGAATCGACGGACGAGTTGTCAGAGTCGATCTTTCTGTGGTCCACGGGGCGCTCAGGCACCAGGAAGACAGCCCAGGAGGTCGTTGGAACGCAGATAACGAACATGACGAAGGCAACAACCAAGTTGACCATGGGAGAAACCTTGACGGCGCCAATCCCAAACGCCAAGCACGAGCCAATGGACTCGAAAGATCTGACGAGACCAACGCCCAGAGTCAACGTCTCAATGTCATCGAAGAAGGTGCCCATGATCCAGTAGACAAACATGTAGTGGGACTCGTTCATGAAACTAGTATCTTGGTTAGCGTGTATTTCCCCAAGTATCCAGAGAACAATCGAGACTTACCGGAAGAGAACGTTGACAGCGAAACCCCGTCCGAAGCCAGGCGAAGCCCAGTCCAGGGTCACCTTTGGCACGGTATCCTCGTACAACTTCTCATTGGCTGTCTGCCAGGCAAAGAGCGCCAGCATGATGACAGAAAAGATCGCCCAAGTGATTTTGGCAAGCTGAGGCCGGCTGAAGCACTTGAGGTCATAAAACCACCCCCAGAACATGTTTGCAGCCGATGCAGCGATGCCAGAAGTCAGAGCACCGAGGGTTCTGGCGCGAACGGAAAAGTACTTGGTGAGGTAGATGCCCTGGTAGGTGCTGTTCCAGTTGAAACCAATGAGAATAGGGATGAGAAGGAAGAATTCCTTCTTCTTCATCAAACCCCACCACTTGCGGAACTCTCCCATGACTGCCTTCTTCTGGGCTGGGTCGGCTACCCTTCTTCCATCACGGCGAATGACCTTTTCGGGAGGTGACACGAGCAAGGCGAGGGGAAGTCCAAGACACTGAAGTGCAATAAGGACGAGGTAGGTGGAATATCCGACCTTTCCACGCTGGCCATTCTTGGAGTTCAGTGAGAGTTGGATCGACGCGCCGATGAGCTGTCCAAGCTCACGGAGACCAAGCCAGATGCCGGCTGTGTGACAGTCAGCAGTCATATCACGTCTCAGAACCAGTAGAGACTTACTGAATTTTCCTCGATCCTTGATGTCGGCATATCCAAGCGCGATACTTCCTTCAGCGCTCCATAAAGCGCTAGCTCCGATTCCGCAAGTTGCACCTCCAAACAAGACAAACCACTCAACACCGTAACGGTTGTTGACGTACATCGATGCTGAGTAGGGAGCATAGCCAAGAGTACCGATGATCAGGACGTTCTTCAGCCCAATCTTGTTGGCCAAGATGGCGAAGATGGAGCAGCCAAACACCATGATACCAAACGTGAGCGCATTGGCGCCGTTGACCAGGTATGGCTCTTGTTGACCTCCAGCGCCAGTGCCTAAGTTGTTTCGTCAGGGGGTGACCATATCCAAATTCGACACGTCCACCTACTATTCAGGGCGTTCCAGATACCGGGCTGAGTGAATGAGATCAGCCCGACAAGAATGACGTTGAACAACGGGCTGCGATACCAGCGGGTGAACCGCGACACAGGTTTCGTAGAATGCACATCCTGAACCTCGTGCTCGCCCTCCTCAGGCTGCTTCGCAAGATCGGTCGACATGGCGATTCAGCTCCTTCGTCCCGACGCAACGGATGAGTTCATGCAGGTGCGGGAAACGGGGACACATGGAGGTGGTCTGGACAACTCTTATTTATTCCACCCTACAACACCCAAATGATCTTCCGGCATGCACTCAATTTTCACTCATCAGTCCCCGAAACCAAGGGTCTAGACGGCCAACGTCCGCGCTGTAGCATCCCATCTAATTCTTTCTCCGCATCGGGCTCCGCTCCCCATTAGATACCGGCTTGGTGCGGGATTGGTCGCCAGCGCTTCGGGATGCCTGTGAAAGGTTTGGTTTGCGTGACGTTATTGGAAATCATTATGAGACAATCCTGGGCAGCGCGCCTGGCCAATGTCTCCCATCCCTGAAGGAGACCGCGGTGCTGGGCCGGCGGCGTGGACGACCGGCGGGCTTTGGGTGGAAAACGCTTAAAAAAAACGTGGAATTGATGGGGTCGGCTTGGGGCCGACATCGCGACGTGCTTACAAGGGTGCGATGGCGACATCAACAAAGCGGATGGCGACCCCACAGCTCTTCTTTTGCCGGGATTAGTCCGCATATGTCGGGAGGAAGATTCAAGCTGTCAGGGAGGCCTGTGATGATGGAAAAGGGAGAGCGCGGGAGGTGCTCCTGAGTTTATTTCAACATCAGTGATGTCCAAATATGGTAATCTGACAGCAGGAGTCCTCAGTATGGAGTACGTGAACGTGATCCTCCGGCCGGTCTTTTGCGGCCCCACAGCCAAGCGTCCGGCTCCGTTACGGTATGCATCTTGGCTACAGCCGAGCCGAGTACCCACATAACGGAACTCGTCGCCGAGATTGAAGGGTCTTTACTTTGAAACGCTCATGGAGCGCTTTACTTTGTTAGTTTTCATCCCAAGAACGCCGCAGAGTTGCCGTGGCGGAACTCTGGACATTGTTGATTTCAAGGTATCAATCCAATATCAACACTTTCGCGCGACGAACATAGACTGCGATTGCGGGCCGGAGAGCGCATGCAGTTAGACCCGGTTTCTTGCGTTACCGTGGACTCTGGTCAAAACGTACATGGTTTCTGGACGAGATCGCAACAAAGATTGGAATCTTCCGGGCCCGCTATCAGGTACTTAAAGTCGCGACATAGGCGACACCATGTGATCTTCTCCGATGACGCCACTGATCATCTATCTTCTGCCAAGCTCCATTCTGCAAGCTTACGCTGGACCAATACCAGATGGCGATGACTGGACATGGAGATTGTGAGGACAAAGTCGCTGATTTCGAAGCTACGATGCAAGCCCTCCACGAAACGACCATGTCAACTCGCCCAGCATGCCACCACTACTCATGTGTGGAGAATACATCGATACTCTCGCTGGTACACGCTCACAGTGAAGTAGTTTGGCGGAAAGACTCTGTTTGTTTGATAGCGCGAACCAATTCAACGCCACAGGACGCGAGTCCATGACGTCCCCAAAGGAAGAATGTGAACAACGGATTGAGGCATTGAGCCATGAAACACTATATTTCGGCCGTACCTGTTGATGAATATGCGTCATGGTTGGCGATCATGTCATTACTTATACTGTCAATGAATGATCAATATTTGATCAACCCGGTGGTTGAACTTCGTCGTGACACGTTTGTCACATACAGTGGTCCACCCTTGTCCTTATACGTGCGACGTCAAGCTCACTCACATCTAGCGGCTCGATTCATTTAGATTACCCTCGTGTTGTTCTACATCACCCAACAACTTCTAAGGAGGTCACCACACTGTATGCGACTCCAAATGGACAGATTCTATCCGTATGGCATCCTGGATTGACGGTGACAAAGACGTATGACCAGCCTCTCCGAGTGCGGGTATGTGGGATTGTTTCGTTTAGACAGAAGCTTATCAAGGGTATAGAAAGAAGCTGTTAGAAAATCATCGTGTAGCTGCAAGCCATGCTGTCCTTCGGCAGGAGAGGACAGGCCGGGAGACAACACATGTTCGGGGATCTGACACAGTTCCCGGTCGCTCCTAGCGGAAATCTGAGTTTTGTGCGATAGCTTAGAAAATAGTAGGCAAACACTCTTCCAACCACCCTGAGAGGGTAGTTTGTGAATGATGGGCACGGAGACGAATTAGAGTGAAATGCGCTAGTTCACCGACGAGACGATGTTCATGGATGGCATCGATGGTTTCCGCCTTGAAAAGCGGAACCCATGCTAGTCTCGGTATGGCCGTGACCTTTCTGATAGTAGTCTCAGAGTCTGCTCCGTAGCCTCTTACTGTCTTCCTTCTGTATGTTCGCTACTGCATAGGAAGTGGCCTGACCTCAGTAATACCTTAAAACATAATTATGCGTGCAGTTGACATCTGCGATGAACTCACATGCTACCACGGGAGACAAATGGATGTAGCAACAATTGTCCCAGTAAGTTTCAAAATAATGCTCTTGGACTTTGGACGACCTGCCAAAATACGGGGTCAATGATAGCGCTTTCTTGAGCCAGAAGCCTTCGCAACTCAAAGTGCTTGGCATTCGTAGGCTTGCCGCTTGCAGATATCAAGTATACCAAACTCCGGCAAAATACGGGTTTAAGTTGTTTCTTCTCATACGGACGACGATACATTTCATAAGCTAGTGCTTGTGAGGCTCGAGCCCGAGGCCGTCGTACTCCCTTCGGACTCAGCGAGATTCCCGAGGCTCTCGGTCATATCCCAAGGACTTTGTCAAGCGATTCCCCACATACCCTGGCTGCAGCAGCGGTGAACTTCTGGGCCGTCTAATCCGCGTGAAAAGGGCTGCCCCAGCTAATGCAAAACTCTGATAGAGGACTCCATGGTAGACCACAATCAAATCCAGGTATCGGATCTCGTGACCAGTACCATAAGACCCATTCAATACCGACACATGCGGCCGCGTAGGAACGTAGGTTTCCGAAGACAGTTTGCTAGGGCTTTCAGCATCCGACCATCCTCGAACTATGCCACTTGGCCAATTCCCCGGAAGGGTGTAAACCAGAAGCTATTGTGGAGGAACTCCTCTCAGAGCAATGACACTCATGGACTATCACGTCGGCCGACAAACACCAGCTAGATTCACA